CAAGTGGCACTCACAAGTCTCACACACACATACACATATCACTCTCACACACAAGTGGCACTCACAAGTCTCACACACACATACACATATCACTCTCACACACAAGTGGCACTCACAAGTCTCACACACACATACACATATCACTCTCACACACAAGTGGCACTCACAAGTCTCACACACACATACACATATCACTCTCACACACAAGTGGCACTCACAAGTCTCACACACACATACACATATCACTCTCACACACAAGTGGCACTCACAAGTCTCACACACACATACACATATCACTCTCACACACAAGTGGCACTCACAAGTCTCACACACACATACACATATCACTCTCACACACAAGTGGCACTCACAAGTCTCACACACACATACACATATCACTCTCACACACAAGTGGCACTCACAAGTCTCACACACACATACACATATCACTCTCACACACAAGTGGCACTCACAAGTCTCACACACACATACACATATCACTCTCACACACAAGTGGCACTCACAAGTCTCACACACACATACACATATCTCTCTGACACACAAGTGTCACTCACAAGTCTCTCACGCACATACACATCTCTCTCACACACAAGTGTCACTCACAAGTCTCTCTCACACATACACATATCTCTCTCACACACACAAGTGTCAACACGCACGAGTTTCTCACACACATATACACACGTATCTCACATACAACATGAATGTCACACACAAGAGTCTCTCTCACTCACAGACATATACACAATTGTCTCTCACACAGATACACGAGTATCTCACACACACAAGAATCTCTCACCGTCTCACATGCTCACGAGAGTCTGTCTCACACACAGAGACAAGTCTCTCTCTTTCACACCCACCCATACGAGTCTTTCTCTTTCACACACACACACAGAGACAGAAGAGTCTCTCTCTCTCTCTCTCACACACACATACACTCACACACACATACACACACACGCACACGATAGTCTCTCTCTCACACCCACACACATGATAGTCTCTCTCTCTCACACCCACATACCCACACACACACACACACACAATAGTCTCTCTCACCCACATACACACACACACATACAATAGTCTCTCTCTCTCTCTCTCTCTCTCACACACACACACACACACGATAGTGTCTCTCTCACACACACACACACACACACGATAGTGTCTCTCTCACACACACACACACACACACGATAGTGTCTCTCTCACACACACACACACACACACGATAGTGTCTCTCTCACACACACACACACACACACGATAGTGTCTCTCTCACACACACACACACACACACGATAGTGTCTCTCTCACACACACACACACACACACACACACGATAGTCTCTCTCTCACCCACATACACACACCCACACATAATAGTCTCTCTCTCTCTCACACCCACACACACCCACACACACACACGATAGTCTCTCTCTCTCTCTCTCTCTTTCTCTCTCACACACACGTGTCAAACACGTAGCCAGGACCTTGCCAGAACTAGGAGAGGGGCTGGGTGGGGCGAGGGCAGGGACGGGCGCACACATGTGCTGGCTACTGCTGGGCTCTGGCTCTCCTGGGGTGTCGCTTCCCTCCCTGCAGTAGGCTGCCCCAGCCGTGAGTGTGCAGGGCAGGCTGGGGGGGGGGGGGGCCGT